TATATATATATGTGCTCCATCCCCAAAAAAAACTAATCAAAATTATCTATTATACGCTACTTATAAGCACAAGTAACTTAAGTCTAAAAGAATAAAGTTTTCTACTTGGAGGAACAAAAAAGATGACTAACCTGCAATTTGAAATTTGAACTTGCTGCTATGAAGGAGAATGGAATTCTCTTTGTATTTGAAAAAAAAAAATTGAATATTCGTTGTTTTGGGAGATATCAGCAGACTAGCGGACAAGATAAAGAATTGGGAAAGACCATGAATTAGGGCTCCAATCAATAAAAAAAGTCTTGACTTTTAAATTTAATACATTTAAGTTTCTTTTTAAAACTTTTGAGTAATTACCAAGCTGACTTTTGAGAATTTGGGTATTATATGAAGGACTTATTCAACAAATTTTGTTTTAATTTGAAAGTCTCTGGGGCTTACGCCTCACTAAAAAACGCGCCTAAAATGCCCGGGCGTACGCCTCTTGAGACTTTCGCCCCACACCATCGCCTCGGGGCCTTTTTGGTGCGCCTCGCCCCAGAGCTCACCCCAAAAACGCCTTTTAAAATATTGAATACGACTAGCTCGCTAATCATTGATAGAACCTTCCAATACTCTACGCATGCAACAAGTTTGGGACATATGATTTCCATGCCAAGCTTGAGGGAAATTTTTTAGTGGAGTAGTATATATAATTTTTTATAATGTTCCTCAGCTTTCCACTTCTCACTCTTACTCGCTCTCTGTAACTGGAAATTTTGAAGGGAAAAGATGACTTATTGGAGATTAAAAGTTGAACCCTTTCTAAATATAGGATTAAACCCTTGAAAGGAACTCTTTTCGACTGAAGTTGATTTAACTGTCGTGTGGAATTGAAGCAGCAGCCTTTAGTGGTTTAAATATGGCGGAATTAGTTAATACTCTATATGCAGACTTTCTTTTAATACTTTGCCTCAAAAGAGCAGTATTAAATATGTATTACAGTATTAGTTAATACTTAATTTGCTTAGGGTCCTATTATATATCTTTTGCCTCAAAAGAAACTGCACAATGAATAAGTCAAAAACGTAAATATTACAATATAGTGAAATCGTGTTGCAAGAAAGAATGGAATAAGAAACAATTCGACAATATCTTATATCAATCAAAAAAGCTCTATTTTCTAAAATAAATTTGCGCAACATATAAGTCAGAAAAGCAAAATAATTCACTTTTGAAATCGTCAGTTTTGGAAGGCTTCCGAATTTATGGTATTTCTTAGTTGATTGTTTATTTTTCAAAAGCTTGTTATCAGTGTTCTCACAAAATTATGAAATAAGACTTCAAGTACTCCTCATCGAAAAGTTTTTCACTCACAAAACTTTAGGAAACGTTACAGACATACCGTTGGCAAGTATAAAAGCACTATTAGTAGCAAGACGGAAAAAAAGGTTGAAATTCTAAACTTCAAAACAATAATCTGTTTCCATTGGCACCCGCAGTTATTGAGTTGCTTTAATTAAAAGAAAGTTTGTAAATATTCATGTGTAAGTCGATAAAGAGATAATTAATGATGACTACACCGATTTAGAATTTTTACCAATATCATATATTCAGAATGTCTCCTTTCAAGTCACTTATTAAGTTACTGAGGAACCATACTATACCATGGCAGACACATCGATCATAGAAAAAATAGAATGAGCAGATCTATAACTACACATATACACGCTTCCACAGGAGCGATTAAATGGGATACTTTTTCACCATCGTATGTATATAATATCAACTTGGCTTCGTCCCTAGTATATAATATCTAAGAGTAATAAGTCTCTAAAACATCTCTATAAAATTGTCGAAAAATTGATTGCAACAAATTACTAAAATATCTAGATATTCACATCTACGAATCAACACTCCTTCCTCATTATAGATGACAATTTACATTATACAAGAATGTCAAAAATTGGGGAAAAATGAATTGAATATGAGTGGAAGTTTCAGATATCTTTCACAACTATACTATGTTTTTGTTGGTTCGTTAACATGCCCTACGTGTAATGAGTATAATGAACTAATTTACTCAACCAAAGTGGAAGCCAGTTGATGTATAATTACTTGATAAATTTGATAGTCTGAGCATTGCAAAAATGCCAGCAGCAAGTGCGGATAAAGATGCCAAGACAAATGCCGGTATGTTCCCTCCACCAAATAAAGCATCCCATGGACCGGCACCAAGTGATACAATCATCTAAGCAAATAGAACAATATGTCAACCTTAACGTAAATTACAAAATACAAGGTAACTTAATTACATCATGGCATAAAAATATCTCAAGTAGTGGGGACGCGAGTAGTATGTGGACTGCGACTGCGAATTGCATTAGGGAGGCAGCTAGAGAGGTTCTGGGGATCTCGAAGGGCTCCTCTGGTGGCCGCAAAGGGGACTGGTGGTGGAGTACTGAGTTCCAAGGAAAAGTGGAAGCCAAGAAGACGGCATACTTGCAGTTTTTGGAGAGCGCAGACGAGGAGGAGAAGAGGTCGAACAGGGAGCGGTATAAGGTGGCCAAAAAGGAAGCGAAGTTAGCGGTTACTGCGGCTAAGACTGCCGCGTTTGAACACTTGTATGAGGAACTTGGAGGCAAAGGAGGTGATAAAAAGTTGTACAAGCTAGCTAAGGTGCGAGAAAGGAAGGCCCATAACCTGGACCAAGTGAAGTGTATCAAGGACGAGGAAGGCAGGGTTCTGTCGGATAAGGCACTTATAACGAAGATGGTAAACTTACTTCCATAAACTCTTGAACGAAGAAGGGGATAGGAACATTGTGCTGGGGGATTTAGAACATTCTGAGAGTCGTCGGGACTTTGGGCATTGTAGGTGTATAAAAGTTGCGGAGGTTGAGGGGGCAATGCGTAAGATGAGCAGGGGGAGAGTGATCAGACCGAACGAAATTCCAGTGGAGTTTTGGAAGAGCGTGGGTAGGGCGGGCGTGGAGTGGCTCACTGGGTTATTCAAAGTTATTTTCAGGACGAAGGAGATGCCAGATGAATGGAGATGGAGTACGATGATTCCGTTGTATAAGAACAAGGGGGATATTCAAAATTGTAACAACTATCGGGGTATCAAGTTACTAAGTCATACCATGAAAGTTTGGGAGATGGTGGTGGAGCTGAGGGTGAGGAGGATTGTATCTATTTCTGAGAACCAATTCGGATTTATGCTAGGAAGTTCAACCACGGAAACCATTCACATTGTTAGGAGGTTGATGGAGCAGTGTAGGGAGAGGAAGAGGGATTTACACAGGGTGTTCATCGACTTAGAAAAGGCTTATGATAAAGTGCCGAGGGAGGTCCTGTGGCGATGTTTGGAGGCCAAAGGTGTTCCTGTTGCATACATTAGGACTATTAAGGATATGTATGATGGAGCTAATACTCGAGTGAAGACAGTGGGAGGAGACTCGGAACACTTCCCAGTTATGATGGGGTTGCACCAGGGGTCAGCCCTCAGCCCTTTCCTATTTGCTCTGGCAATCGACGCACTGACACGCCACATTCAGGGTAAGTGTCGTGGTGCATGTTATTTGCAGATGACATTGTGCTGATTAACGAGACGAGTGGCGGTGTTAACGAGAGGTTAGTGGTTTGGAGGTAGACCCTAGAGTCTAAAGGTTTCAAGTTGAGCATGACCAAAACGGAGTACTTTGAATACAAGTTCAGTGGTGCGACTTCGGTGGTGGACGAATACGTGAGGCTAGATTCACAAGTCATCCCTAAGAGAGAGAGTTTCAAGTATCTTGGTTCTGTTATTCAAGGGAATTGGGAGATTGACGAGGATGTCACACATCGCATTGGGGCAGGATGGATGAAATGGAGACTCACTTCCGGTGTCTTGTGTGATAAGAATGTGCCACCAAGACTTAGCGATGGTCAGACCGACTATGTTGTATGGGGTGGAATGTTGGCAAGTCAAGAACTCTCATGTCCAGAAGATGAAGGTGATTGAGATGAGGATGCTGAGATGGATGCGTGGGCATACCAGGCTAGACAAGATTAGAAATTAAGATATCCGGGATAAGGTGGGCGTGGTTTCTGTGGAGGACAAGATGCGGAAGGCAAGGCTAAGATGGTTCGGACATGTGAAGAGGAGAGGCACAGATGCACCAGTGAGGAGGTGTGAGAGGTTGGTCTTGGAGGGCCAACGGAGGGGTAGAGGCAGGCCGACAAAGTATTAAGGAGAGGTGATTAGGAAAGATATGGCGTTGCTCCAGCTTACTGAGGACATGACCATGAATAGGAAGGTGTGGAGGTTGAGAATTAGGGTAGAGGATTAAGTAGTCGAGCTTTGTCTTTGTTTTGTTACAGTAGCTTAGTACACCACTTAGTGTCTTTATGTATTTTCGCCTTTTTGAACTTCTGTTATTACTTGTGGTTGCCTTCGCTCGGTTTTAACTGTACTAGCTAGTGATAATTGTATGTTTTTGCCTGATTTTCCGATTGATTTGCTTGTCATTGGCCCTTCACTTTATCTTCCCTGAGCCGAGGGTCTATCGGAAACAGCCTCCCTACCTTTTAAAAGTAGGGATAAGGTCTGTGTACACACTACTCTGGGGAATACACTGGGTTTGTTGTTGTTGTATGGCATAAAAATATCGCACACACGATGAAGATGAATAGCAACAATTGGATAGAAAGACAAAGTTACCTGAGGTACAACAATTGCAAGATTTAGGACTCCTATTGCCAACCCTGCAAAAAGCGTACCAGTTTCAAATAATAAAATATAAGGCCTTATCGACTTAGACACGATAATATTTTTAACAGATTGAACAAATACCTTGACCACCACCAGCATCAGCTGTCAACTCTGCTGTGATAGAGAAAGGAACACTGTAAGTGACCTGCAGGCATGTAAAGCAAAATGCATGAAAGGATAAACATGCACCCAAAAGTATCAATCTCCACAGAAATACAAGTCATATCTACTGTATGATCAGCTAACAGGTACAAAAACATAATTAAAACTTACAGCAAGAGGAATGCCAAGAAGCGAGAAAACAACCAAAGAAGCAATTTTCGTTGATTGAGTAGCTTCAATCACATGTTGGACTCCTCGTGAATGTGCACTGATAGAAACCAGGCTAATGATAGCGGTGCTGGCCATGCAGGCAAATACAATGAGGTTGCTCACAGCCCAAACAAGTCTGGAACCAATCCACTTGCACATTGGCTCAATAAAAAAGGAGGTAATGCCAAGAACAACCTGCTCAGGGAGATTCATGACAATAACTTAAGACGTTAAAAATACTGGAGCAGTTATGAGAGAGGGAAACATAAATAAGCTCTCGATTGATCATTACTTCTAGTTAAGCTGCAAAACACCTATTATTAGATCTAAATAAAGGATAACTAGTGATTCTCAATTCTGAGTTCTTACAGAATTCAATAGCAAACCAAATGCACCTTCTCTGACACCTTGGTTATATGCTTTTACTTCAGCTGCTTCTCCTTTCGGGTCCCCATGATAGACTTCTCTCCCCATCCAATCCGTGTCAAAGAGGAAAAAGGGAAACCAGGACAACTGGTTGAAAGAACACAAAGATATATAATTAGCGGCAGTGGAAAGATCATGAGAAAAACAAAGAATAAAACTCATAGAGTATAGCGAAATGGGAAAATTGTACAGCTAGTTAAAAGCTTAAATCAGAAAAATCAGAAAGTTACTCACCCAAGTCAGAGCCATGACAATGAGAACCGAATGCATTGCAGGAGGCAAATGTCGTAAGCTGGTCAATAGATTGACCAAAACCGCTCCAGGGCTATCAGTGAAGCTATCACCTTGATCCTGCTCATGTCTCTGGTCTTCATTCTTTGGACTATTAATGGTTACATGACCCACCTCAGATTCACTATTGGTCACATTATTTACAGATTGCGACTCCGTTTTTGATTGAGAAAGGTCAAAGCTAGTATTCTGAGGACTATCCAACAGAGGAGCAGAATCTGATAAGCGATTGGTTTGCTTGAGTGACAGTGGGACTTCTTTGGCAAAGTGGAGAGTTACCAACGTGCATAGAGTCAAAAAGACCTGTTCACAGTCCAAAAAGAACTTTGAATTACATAGAATGAACATGGGTACTAGATCACGCCAGTAACAACACCAGAGAAGGTTTCATTTGTACTATGTTCAAGCTTAAGCATAGTACTAATTCTTCACAGTCGTAACTCATAACACCTAATAATTTGTATATCATAAATAAAAAAATTGTCTCCCTTGATTAGCTGATTGCGTTTAGAAATGTTAGCCAACAAAATGACTTCTGCGAATTACATAGTATGACTTAAAGCTCTTTAACAAATATTTTAAGACTAAAGACGAACAGCAGGAAAGAGACTGTCAACATATTTGATGAACCCTTGATTCCAGGTGCTGGAATTCACAAGAAATGTAACTAAATCATGAGATATACACTGTTCAAAGGGAAACTCATACGGTTACATTTCCTCCATTTTTTCTCTTTTTCTACCATCTCTTAAAGCCAGAATTAAAGAATTGACCCTTTCTAACTGAAAACACATTCAGTCTCACTGTTTGACGCATGAATTTCTTTGAAGCGCATCGTTTCACCCATGAAGCAATAAACCCGCCTCGCATGACGTCATCACTTTAAGCAACGGCGCAATGGCTTTTCACAGCACTTATCCAATTTTAGATGAAACAGATCCACATGAAGTGGAATGAATAATGAGAATTCATATAATGTAGCACGGCAGCATTTTTATGTACTTGCACCATTTAACAAGACTGGTGGGATCTACGAAAAGTTGACCAAATTAGACAGAGCATTGACAGGTATTAGATCACGTTTGGCCAAGATGTTGACTTGGTTGACTAGCATTTGGACTTCTGGAAATGTCATTCTCATGACCGAATCACTTGTGGGCCACATGTCCACCCCACTTGGACCACACGGCCTACCTAGCTTTTTCTTTTTTGTTTAGTGGAGAAAGGCCATATTATAAGCAGCACTAAATATTTACAGGTGAACAAAACCAAATAAGGAACCCTTTTCCAGTCTTTCAAGGATTCTAGGAGGCTAAGTATAGAGTCGGCTTCATTAACAAACTCCTCCTAACACAAAAGTGACCATTAAACTTAATCTGATGGGCCTAGGCCATTAGCTTAGCGTATAAATAGGAAGTGTTAGGGTTGAGTTCAAGAAATCTCTTGTGAGAAAACCCTTTTGTGGCATTGACCTTTACCTCTTCTTGAACCTCATCTTGATGCTTCTTAGTAGGTGTTTGTAGGAGTTCAATTCTCCTCTTCCTTGGATGAACCTTAGGGGTCGTTTTGGTACGCAGACTAAATTATCCCGGGATTATAGTCCTGGGATTGTAATCCCTAGACTACTTTATCTCACCTGAGAGGTGGGATAAAATAATACCAAGTTTGATGGGGTAAGGCGGGATAAGATGGGATATCCAGAATTAAGTCTGGTACAAAGTTTATACTATGTTTGGTTGACGGTATAAATTTATACCTGAGAGGTGGGATAAAATAATACCAAGTTTGATGGGGTAAGGCGGGATATCCAGAATTAAGTCTGGTACAAAGTTTATACTATGTTTGGTTGACGGTATAAATTTATCTCAGGATAAATTTAATACCACATTTTATCCCACCTTATCCCACGTGCCAAACGACCCCTTATAGTTGAATTGCTAATTAGTTGGTTAAAGATATATTTTTCTTGTGTTGACTAATTGCTTCTTCTATTTGAATCTATCTTTTTTTTTCTTCTTCTAATTCTATCATGGTTTGGGCTAATTGATAGTGTTAGCAAGGATTCAAACTATCTATTGCTTGATTTTGTGTTAACCTAGTTAATTAGTTCAACTCCGCCCTATCCTTTATGTTTATGATATTCATCTTCTCTTTAGGGTTGTTGGGTTTTCCATCAATTTACTTGAATCTTCTGGGGTGTTCTTGTAGTCATTAGCCGACCATAACTAGCTTGGGATTCGGGAGTATATGTTGTCATTGTACTTTATCCAATTTCAGAAAGCCAACTTTCAACAATAGTATATCAGCAAGTAAGAGACAAGATGCATAAGAGGACGTGATTAATGTTTTAAGACATTGTTTAAAAAAGATGCTTGAGGAAAATCTTTATTAACTAAGGATGCAGGATGTGTGACGAGTAGATCCAAAAACTCCCTTTTATGTTCTTTTAGCAATATTTTTTGTCAATGTACTTCCAATAAAAAATGTATAATAAAACATGTTGAACTAAAGTAGAAGATCCCATAAATCAAGATTCAAAAATAGAAATTACTATATCTATGCAAGGGATCTATCGAGGACAATTAACTCACCACTGCAACTAAGAACGCTGCTTTGAGATTTCCACATGGCTCACAACAAGCTCTATTTGTCAAAAAGGGAAACCATCTGCCCAGACGCAAAGTTTTGTCAAAGACTACTTTAAGCCTGTATTGTTTTATGAACCAAATCTTAATTAAGAAGACAATTTTTGCCACTAAAAGAGCAACAAATTTCAAAGTGTTGACCCTCAAGAAGAATGCTGAACAAGTGTTATTGTTCAAGCAGGATGCGGACTATCTTTTCACATAAGCATATACACATATAACATCACCATGTCACTTCAGATACGCAATAAACAACCAACCTGTGCCAACCTCCACTGGCTCCAGCAGAAAATCCAAGAATGTTTCCAACAGCCATCCAGGAGCAGAACACAGCGTTTGCAGTATTTCTTTGATCAGGACCTACAATCAAGTTACAAAGACATCTGCATAACTCGCAACAAAAGTAGAACTGTATCAATAACTGAAAAGACAATTCTCCCTTCCATCTAATGGAGCTTATACCTGACAAATCTGCCAAAAGAGCTCGAGCTGGACCCTGCCAACATAAAACAATTACGGTACCATCTATTAGAATCATCTAAACTCCTAGCAATAGTATTAACCTTTCAGATGCTAACCTGCACAGTATTATTAGCAAGATCGAGCATCCAAAACCCAACAACGAAGACAATAGCTGCTCTAGAGCGAGTGCCTTTGAAAGTGCTGTATTTTCACACATTAATCAAAGACTTCACAGCTTATTCAGATAATACCAAAATTACAGGACCAAGAGGAAGAAAGAACCTGCAATGCTCTTTTGTGTCCCCCAATAAGTATCCTATGTCTGCAGAAAACCCGATAATTATCACCTAAATGACAAGATTAAATTCAGCCGATTTAACTGGAACCAATTAATTCAATATAGGATAAACATAACTTCTAAATGCTTACAGCAATAGATATCATGACAGCTCCAACAAAAATGAAAGGCCTTCTTCTGCCATATTTCGAATGACATTTATCACTCCATATACCTACACAAGGTTGTACCTGAAAGAATGTCCAAGAAGAAAAGCTTCTAAGTTGAATAATCGATGGAGCTGCAGCAAAACTTCTCCACATAGTTTGTGTGTAGCATATATCTGGCGACATTAATTTACTGAACAAAGGACAGAAAGTTCTAATGCTAGGAACAGCTAACAAATTTTGCAGAGCTCCAAAAGAAAAAAGTTGTTATAGTTCAGCAAGCCATATTTGCAAGGTTAAGTACCCGGGCTGAAGTCTAAAAATTTTTTGTTTTAAGAGTCAACAAAATTTCAAAGTGTTGTAGCTTTTATGTAGTTGGCTCTGCAGATGCAAAGGTTATCCCTATTTTATATCTTCAGGAATTTCTCTCAGTAGAGTTGTTCTCACAACTCCGAATCCTAATTACTGCCATTCATTGTTTTAGTTTACCTAGTAATCTGCAATAAAATGCCATGATATTTGATATGAAGTTGATTGTGACACCTACCACAAGGCCTGTAATAGGACCGCAAAGCCAAATAAAAGAAGAGAAGGCATGCTCTATGCCAAGTGTCTGCAAAACACAAAAAAGAAGAATTATAGGCAAAGAAAAAGCTCAAAACGAGAAATAGGCAAAATAAAATCTAAAGCCACTGAAAATATAGAAAATTATAAGAATTCATTGCTCGAGGCTAGCGGAAAACAGCTATGGCTTTTAAAGACCATTTCTGCACATCTTCGGATTAAGAGTACAGAAAAATCAAACCTTCTAATTTTTGGCATGAGCAAGCTCGACCCCAGCCGTAACGACATGAACATGATTTTGCTTTCTGTTTCTCTTATTTACTTAAAAACAAAGTATCAATTCTCAAAGGCGATGATACCAAATCCAAGCTGTTTTTAAAAGCTGTTAGGCTATTAAAGAGTGCTATTTGCTGAAATATTCTGTGTAACCTTTTATAGACTAAAATTAATCCCTTATAGAAATCAAATTTTTGTAAAGAAAGAAACTGTTCTCAAATGTACAGCTTTTTACCAAAAATAGAAACTGAATTCGAAGCTTTGATATAATGTAACCTCCATTGAACGAAATTTACAATTGTGGCCCAAACGATTTCTTTCACTACCAGTATTATAAATGCATATGTCAAATTAACATCTCTAACTCCATATCCAGTCAAAACAAATCAAGACGAAACAGGTAGACAAGTCAAATTAACATTCTATTAAACTTCAGTCCAACACTATCATATATAAAATGGATCAGAGAGAGTCGTAGCGTAGAAATTAGCGCACCTGAATGTAAGGAGTGAGGAGAGAGAGTTGCAAGGCCCAACCGAACTGAACACCGGCGGCGACGGTGCAACTGAGAATTAAAGTGAGTAAACTGTTCCGTACAGGCGGCCGCTGTGGAGGAGAATGCGAATCGCGTGATTCGCCATTGGAAACCCTAGGAGAAGAAGACGAATCACTACGGATCTCCAAATGAGTAAACCGAGATGATTCATCAACGTTAACTAATTCCACTTCCTGCTTTAAATTCTTGTACGGTACTCTTATCGACACCGCATCCATAATTGAATTTAGATCTGCTTCAGTTACAATTATAGCTACACTTAAATTGATTATTTTTTTTGGTATCACATTCGATCTGGAAAATGGAAATGCGTTAGCTAAGACATCAAAATTGAAGCTCAGCTGTATGAACCGTGATGGAGTGAAAATACGTGAAATATTTTTTAATTTTACAGAGAACGACGTCGGATTGTTGATTCGGTACGCGTTGGATTCAAAGGAGGGTGCTTGACTTTTTCCTAAAGGCAAATAAAGAAGACGTAAGACCACCGACGGCGATGGGTTAGGAAAGAGAGGTGGCGGGGGTCGAGTCGAGTTTAAGAATAGTTAATGTAGGAATTTCACTCTCCTTGTTATGTCATTTTGTAATTGTGGCATGACACGAGAGTCCTTTGTGACATAGTAACATCAACAGGTTCCTATAAAATTGAAAATCTGCTAATATTATTTCAAAAAGAAGACACTTTACTAGAGGATCATCTGTAATTTTCATATACTACTTTCTTATGTTATGATTCTGAATAAGACAATTCAATAATATGCTCTCCAATTGTACAATTTAATATAACATGCCTCTTTTACTTCCTTGCCAACTCCATGGAAAAAACTTATTCACGAGGATCATTTGCAGTGACTACCTCAAATATAATATATAAAACAAGGTTCAACTTCAATAACCTTTTTATGAAAATAATCAGTTACTCCACATGTAGAATCTGGGGAAGATAATATGTGCACATACCTTACCTCTACCTTGTGAAAGTAGAGAAATTATTTCTGATAGATACTCGGCTCAAGAAACAATAAAAAGGAAACAACAAACAATAGCAACAAGGTAATAGGATAACGAAAGCGAACGACACAACAATAAAGATATGTCGCATCCCAATGGGGTATAATATAAGCAGACCACCCTGATACAAGTATCAGTGACTGATTCCACGGCGCAAACTCGTAACCTATAGGTCACACAGAGACAACTTAACCGTTGCTCCAAATATTGTCCAAACATTTATGAAAACATTTCAAGTAAATATTGTCCAAACATCTATTGAATTTCGTGGATCTTTTATTTTTCTTAATTGGGAACAAATGGGATCAGGTCCTCTGGTCGTTGCGCAAGTCAACTATACAGTTGTTAAAGCTGTTGCACAGTATGTGCAACAGTACAGCAGCACAACTGCAATTTGCTAGAAACCGAAAATGCCATTGTAACTACCCTTATGATCTCACATATATAAACAACATTATACAAGATTTTGACCTAACATTTGCAAATACAAAAATATATATTCTCTCAAGTGTGCAGTCGCCTCTGTTTCCTTAGGTGCATTGAAGAACAAAGCTGCTACAAAACAAAGGACCAGATCCCAATATTGAATATGTCTTGTGTCCTTTAGTTTGTTGTGTCTTTGTCTTTTGTTATTTACTTGTATTCCTACACAGGTTTTTAGAAGCATTTAGTAGGACATCATTTAATCATCATTGTTTTTGGTTGTTGCTCTTGGGTCTATAATCTAAAGCGACGGGGAGATTGACGAGGATGTTACTCACCGTATTGGAGTGGGTTGGATGAGATGGAGGCTAGATTTGGGGGTTTTATGACAAGAATGTGCCTCCTAGACTTAAGGGTAAATTCTACAGGGTGGTGGATAAACCGGTTATGTTGTATGAAGCTGAGTGTTGGCCTGTCAAGAAGTCCCATGTCCAGAAGATGAGCGTAACTGAAATGAGGATGTTGAGATGGATATGTGGATATACCAAGAAAGACAATATTAGGAATAAAGTTATTAGGGACAAGGTGGGTATGACATTCGTGGAAGACAAGTTGCGGGAATCGAGGCTGCGATGGTTTGAGTATGTGAGGAGAAGAGACATAGATGCCCTGGTCAGGAGGTGTGAGAGGTTGAACATGGCGGGCTTGAGGAAATGCTGGGGTAGGCCTAAGAAATATTAGGGAGAGGTGATTAGGCAGGACATGACGGTGCTTCACCTAACCGAGGACATGACTAGTGATAGGACACTGTGGAGGTCGAGTATTAAGGTGGTGGGTTGACTGGTAGCTGTGACTTTTTCCTAGGTTTACTAATCGTACTAGTAGTATTCTTGTTGTTGGTTGAAAGATACTTTCTTCTAGTTTGTTAGTATATCTGGTACTTGGCTATCTCGTTCATTATTTTTTTTTTTTTTGAAAACTGCTACTGAAAATTGTTGCTCCCTGATTGCTACTATTTGAGGCTACTTTTTCTCCCTTTACCGGAAATTATTGCTCTCTGTTTGTTATTAATTGATACTACTTTTCTCCCCTTTTTCTTTACTGTCTTTTGTCTCCCTCTTCTTTCTTTCTCCCCCCTCTTTCTTCTTCTTCTTCTTCCTTTTTCTTCCTTGCCAACTTTTCTTGAGCCAAGGGTCTATCGGAAACAGCCTCTCTACCTATCTAGGTAGAGGTAAGGTCTGCGTACACACTACCCTCCCTAGATCTCACCCGTGGGATTATACTTGGTTTGTTGTTGTTGTTATTGTTGTTGTTTCTTTTGGTTGTTGACTAGAGTTAGTCAAGAGTGTGACTTTATAATAGAGTATCACGACCCCAATTTCCTTTTGTAGGATGTCGTGACGGCACCTAGAGATAACCGAAATAATAATTAAATGCTCAAAATCCAACAACTAGCATAAGGAAAATCCCTACAACTCAGTATATACATATTTTCCCAAAACCCGGCGAAGTATAAGTCACAAGCTCTATGCCAATATCAAAGTCATCCCTATACAACGGTATCTAGTAAGGAAGGAAAATATAGAAATGGATAGAAGGTGAGTCCGAGGCCTGCAGACGCAGGCAGGTGTACCTTGAAGTCTCCAAATGCGAAAATAGCATCCCTCGTTTTAGCCCACCTTATCACACTGCATGACTTCTAGTAGTTCCCATACTAGCTATGCGAATCAAGCCCACCTTATCTCATCGCATGCGTTTCAATCCCAAAACCTTACACCGCCGCATGCGTATCAATATCACAACGTATCATAAATCGCACCTCAAGTGCCCAATATCATAACTTGCCAGAGAAACCAAACAAAAATAGTATTTTCACAGTAAAGAGCCCATGGCCCAACCACAATGTACACAAGAATCTCAACAATAACAACCCAAAAAGGAACAACTCTACATAATGGTATTTCACAGCTTAACACTTTGCCTCAATGCGAATCACGGCCTTTATATATCAATACCAATTTCAACAACCAGATATTCCACAATTTAACAACTTCAAGTAAAGGGTTCAACGATCAAATAATGAATACAGAATAAAGGAAACAAGAACTTCAATTAAGCATATCAGGCAATTAGCATATGAGAGAATAAGACGAGTAGACATTTGGATATAGACTAGAAATGATGACTATAACATATTAAGGTAACTCAATTACGGCATGAAAGGAATCTACATAGCTAAAATCGGTAATTTTCACATTTAGCCCGTGTACACACTCGTCACCTTGCGTACATGGCTTTCACATATCTCGATTATCACAACCAATCACAAATCCTAAGGGGTAATTTCCCCACACAAGGTTACGCCAGTCATACCTTAAATCACGCTAAATCAATCCACTAGTTGGCATTTTCCTCGATTATCCAACGCTGAACAGCTCAAATCTAGCCAAAACAACTTCATACTATAAATATAAACTATAGGAAACTAATTCAAACAATGAAATTACGACCTTTGTAAAGAATTAAAAAGTCAACCCAAAAAATCAACCTGAGCCCGTGCTTCGGAACCCGACCAAAATTATAAAATCAGAACACCCATTCGATAACGAGTTTAATTATACAAGAATTACTCAAATCCGACCTCAAATCGCCTTTCAAATCCTCAAATTTTAGCCCAAGAAGTTTCTACCATTTCCCCCCAATTTTCCAACTCAAACCACTAATTAAATGATGAACTTATTAGTAGATTCATGTAAATTGACCAAAACCGAGTTAGGAATTCTTACCCCAATAATCTTTCTGAAAATCTCCCAAAAATTTGCCTCACACCGAGCTTTCTAAGTCCAATTTACGAAATAAGAGATAAAACTCTCGTTTTGAAATTTAAGTTTTGCTGCCAGTGATTTACACACCGCGACCGCAGAAATCCATTCGTGATCGCGTAACACAAATTATGCCCGACTCTAATTTACTCTTCACGATCACATGAACCAATCACGAATGCGATAAACAAGCTGCCTCAACTTTGCGACCGCATCCCATGCCACACGATCACGTAGCACAAACTGCCTCTGCCCCTAGCCTTGCCATTCCTTCTACGCGAACGCAACCTCCTTTCACACGTTCGTGATTCACTGAAAGCCAATCTTCTGCGATCGCAGACCTCCTCTCGCGATCGTATAGAGCAAATTTCCCCTAGTGCCAAACTACCCTTCGCGATCGCGTATAAGGAAACTAGAAGCACCAGATTCAACAACCTTCAAGGTTCCGAAATGCGTCGAACATGATCCGAATTACACCCAAGGCCCCCAGGACCTCAACCAAATATACCAACGAGTCCTAAAACATCATACAAATACGCTCAGAGCGTCAAATCACATCAAACAATACTAGAATCATGAATCGCACATCGATTCAAGCCTAAAAAACTTATGAACTTCTGAATTCCTAAACGAATGCCGATTCATACCAAAACAATTCCGATTGACTTCAAATTTTGTACACAAGTCATAAATAATATTACAGACCTATTCCAACTTTCAGAATCGGTTTCTGACCCTTATATCAATAAAGTCAACTCTCGGTTAAACTTTCTAACCTTACAAACCTTTAGCTTTTTAATTCTCGCCGAAATGACCTGCGGACCTCCAAATCAATATACGGAAACGCTCGTAAGTCCAAAATCACCATAAAGAGATATTGAAACCATCAAAATTCTATTCCGGAGTCGTCTACACAAAAGTCAAACTGCGGTCAACTCTTTCAACTTAAAGCTCCAACTTAGGGACTATGTGTCCCATTTCACCCCGGAACTTACCTGAAACCAAAACCAAATATTCCGGCAAGTCACATAATTACAATATAGCATAAAGGTGGCAATAAATAGGGGATAGGGGCTAAAACACTCAAAACGACCGACTGAGTCGTTACATAGAGTTATTACAAAGAGCTTACAATAAAGTTATTATAAGAGGTGAGGGATTAAAAGTTTAATTCCTAGATTGCAATAGGTTATAATTTGAAGTTTTCTTAGATAGTGAAGTTGAAATCCTACTAGGGTATGTTATGGTTTTTAATCCTGTGAGCTGAGAGTTTTCAGCG